TCATAGACGTAAATTAAGGGCAATGATGCCCTAATATTGTTAAGTTTCTGCATTCACAAGTTAAGTATTAATTAACTTTTTTTTTTCCTTTTCAATCTACCTATTCATTCCATTGTAGCTATTTTTTTTTTCCTTTTATATATATTTCTTTTTTTTCCTATTTCATATACAATTCTATAACATAACATTTCAAATAACTTTACAAATTTGGGCGCTATAAATATTTTATATAAAGTTATAATTCAGCGATATAAAAATGGTAAACGTTAAAATTTGATTTAATACTTAAAATAATTTAATATGTTAAAGAATTAATAATTCAAACAAAAATATTGAAGTATATTGACACTGCTAGTGCAAAAGGTCATATGTAAAAATTGAATTTTTCTCCTTATGATTTATTATAATAATATCGCGCTTTATTTCTCTATGCTTGCATTGCAGTTGCAGACTACAAAATATCACCTTCAGCAAAAGTATAATAAACATGGAAAATTGTTACATACGACCTTTTGCGTTAACAGTCGCGATATGTAATAATTATAATACAGCATTCCATGGTAACCTACAATTGTTCATTAGATGATCAATTACATAAAAAAATAAATAAAAAGCGTAGGGGAGATCCATGTTCAATTGGAATCGTGTAAAAAACGAGTTGACTGTAATGTTTAAAAGTTTCAAATAAATTACAAGACGCTAAAAAAAGTCCAACATTATCTCTGAGTTAAGGGATTTAATTTCTAATACGTCACACATTGAATACGTGGACTAAAAGTTAACCTTAAAAACTGATGTCAATTAGAATACAGTCAACAAGGTTCAAGGATGGATACGAACGTCAGCCTGTTCCAGAGTAGATATGGTAAATAAAATGGGATGATAATGTAATACAAAATGAACTAAATCAGTGAATAACAAAAAAATAATAAATTAATAACTATTAAACTTATAATAATAATAATAAAACGTTATTAATTTCTATTTCACTCATTTACTAGAAAAAATAATTAACGATTGATACTCGCAATAATTTATGCTTGAACAAAATTATTAGAAGGAAGTAAATAAGTAACTCTTTAACTATAAATACCCTAATTTACCCTTCCATTTCACCAAAAGAACTTTTTAATTTGTTTTCACAAAAACTTATCTTAACTTAATCTTTAGGGGCATCAGGCATTACAACCCAAATGAAAAGGTTCAAAAGAAACAAAATTAATTGTCAAGGACATGATTGGAAGATTAAAAAAATACAGGAAATAAATGTCAATGTTCTGTCAGTGTTCTGTCTCCTGAATCGGTGAAACATGAAATAGACAATTACAAAAAAAAAATTATGTATGTCCCTTTTGATTAAAAATTTAATGGTTAAGTTAAAACATGCAGAGAACAAACCATTTCATAAGGATTTGACGAGAGATCAGAATTAAGTCATAAATTAGCAGTATCGTAACCTAGAACATTTTTCTACAAAAATTCTCAGAAATGGGGCGTTTTCTTAGTAAATTAATGTGTTCATATCTCACTATGATTATTGTCCGTGAGACAGATTGTTATATTTCTGAATAAATAAATTAAAAAATGTAATGAGGTTCTAAAAACTCATGAATATCCATTGGCTTTCCACTTACATCGTAAGATAATTTTATCAAAGAGAGCTAAAAAATAGCCTACGAGTATATTAGGCCGTTTGGCCTATATAATCTCGTTATTTCATATGTTGGGTGGAGGTCACATCAATCGACTCAATATTTTTATAGGTCACTTTTTTCTTCGATTTTGTGATGAAAATATCTTGAGACTCAAGTGGCAAACAAATGGATCTCCGTGAGATTTTAGTAACTCATTGAATAGACTCATTGAAGTTTACCGATCTTCAGATAAACCAGGCCTCATTTTCGGGAATTTTCATAAATAAAAAACGCTGCAAATTATCACACAATGGTTTATTATTTCCAAACGATTTAACATCAAAATTAACATTGTATATCATTAAGGAGAATAAATAAAAAGGGATTCCTAACATTGGCCTTTATAATTTTCTTTTTTATCATCAATAATTTGCTTTAGAAATGGACAACATTGCTACAGTTGATGTAAAAATTTCAAAAAATCAAAAACCAGAACAAAATATACCAGTACTGCAATAAAACATATTACAACACCACATCTCTGCCCCAAGTTGTCCGATTTCAACGATTTTTGTTTTGTTTTTTAGTAAAATTTGTAAATGTTTAAATAACCATTTAAACTTCTATAAAGAACTATGGGGCTCCACTAAACCATCGAATTCTCGTATTCAATCATAAAAATCCAAAATCCATCGTAAAACCCTCAATGCTCCCCACTTTGTTACAAATAAAACCATCCATAATGATCCTAATGTTTCTTATGTTTCAGATCTGGCCCAATCTAGATACCTATCCTTCCATAATAAACTTCAGAATCATCCCAACCCTCTCGTTTCTAACCTTGCTTCATTTTCAATTCCTGATAACCCTCCGAGGCGTCTGAAAAGTAGATGGCCCCGTGATCTCCTAATGTAGACATACCATATCTGCACTAGTACTACCATTGGGTAGTTTCTTAACAAGTTTTTTCACGTCATTATATACATATGTTCAAATTTACTAAATGTATTTGTTTAATACAATTGTAAATATCATTAAGAAATAAAAAAAATAAAAAATCAATAAATAAAAATTGTATACTTCTTGAGTTATTCGGAAATGCAATTTGACCATCCCCCGCAACTTTTTTTCCAACTTATTTTCGTTGAAGTACGTTACATAGATAAATTTAAAGGTCATCGAGGAGAAGACTTTAACCAAGTTTCATTGAATTGGTACATTCGTTTAGGCGCTACAGTCTATACCAAAACAGGTCTTTCGGCCGCTATCTTGGAAGGAAAGAGCAGATAGTAATGTCGAGGCAGGAGGATCATCCTCGGGTGACCTCTGACTTCGATTTCAAATTTGAAAATAACCGGTCAAGTAATCTCACAGATAAGCTGTGTACGGAGGACAGCGTCCGATGAAGGGGCGGGGTTGTCGAATGGTCTAACGTGTGTGCACAGCACCGCGAGTTGCTCAGCAACCGGATAACCGAAGTTATGAGATTTAAAAAAAAGTACGAGTTTGCATCCCTGTGCCGGGGAATAAAATATTACCACTTTAATTTATGTTTAATCCACTATCTTGTTTCAAAGATTGAACATTAGTTACAAAAGAGTACCGTAACATAAGAATTTCCTCCAGATCTTTATCAAATGAGGTTCACATATTGTGTTGATAAAAAAGTATTTCGATATAGAGGTGAGGAAATATCATAATTGAACGACTTAAGATGCGTTTAGACATTGCACAAACTAGGGGAAACACGAGTATTTAAGTGGTTTTTACCTACAGTATTGTTTTTGTTTCTTGTTTTTAATGTCTTCCTTCTGTTATCGATAACAAGAGAAATAAAAAAAAAGTTAACCTTAGCGCTAATGTCGCTTATAGTTAAGTTATGTAATTGTGTTTGTGAATTGTCTAATCGCAAGAAATTTCTAAACGTCCACAAAAATAACGACCGCATATGGTTAAGGTGCGGATTAAGGATTGAATGTTGGATTGCTGATGTTTTTATTTATTGGTACAACGTTATGTACAATGATTTAAAGATTTGATTTGTTTACTTAATATATTAGCTGTAATTTAGTTACTTTATGTAATTTAGTAGCTGAATTAACGGCGTTATCATTTAAAAAGATAGTGTATTGTGGATTTTTTTTTAAATTATTTTACTATTTTGGAGGTAAAGGACAAAGGCTTCTGCCAAATGCTCTGGCCACTCCTTTGATGAGCTAGTGTTATGGACAATTCATATGTATAATAACTATATAGATATAATTATTATAAAGAAGTATAAAATAAAATGGATGATTTTATAGCTCAATTGAGCTGGTTAAGACAATGTTGCTCTGATGCTGGCAATGTCCTCCATCGAAGCATTATTGACCCTCTTCGCTCCAACGGCCAAACACAAGAAACGAATTACACAACTATAAAACCACCGAAGGAGCTGAGTAAACAGGCTCACAAACACCGTCCCCTTCCTTTCGGGGATAAAAGCATTTTATATATCCTCAAGGGCGGGTCGGTATAGAAACTGGACCAAACAACTGACCACCCTTCCATCATACGATGTTGTCCCTTCTCTTAGTGAAGTGGTAAAACAAAAACAAATGAAATTGAAATAGTTAATAAACATAGTTCTAAGGTTGATTCAAGGGTAATTCTAAGGTCACAAGCCCATATACATACAAAAAACATCATTCTAATGGTATTTGGAAAGAAGTTTATCAATATTAAGTCATTTAAATGTTTGAACACTGAAACTGTCATTACCACAACTCTTATTCTAATCAATGAAGAATCACCTTTTGACTTATCTAAAAAAATTGGACAATATTTTAACAGCTTTAAGGTATTTTTAACAGTTGTTGATTTATATCTACCAAGTGCTGAGTAAAAAAATACATGCCCACGTCTGTGTAGTCAGTCATTACCCTAGCCAAAACGATGACCGAAAGGAAATAAATTAAAAAAATTAATTTTGATAAATAAATAAAAAAAAGATTTGAAGAAAATTTAAAATAAGACATGGAGACCTCAAAAATCTTCACAACAGTTGAATTTCTAAACGTTATCAAAAAACGAAAGTTACGAAACAGGTTCGTACATTTTGACATTGCCGCTCTTTACTGCAATTTAAAGCTGAAAATTATTTACTTTTTTATGATATATTTTAAAAGCTAGAGAGAAACACTTTATTTTCATAAAATATAAATTATTGCTACCCAATTATATTTGGTTGCTATATACACAGTCTTCTATCCTTAGGACAATATATGAACTTATATATAAATACACAGAAGTATTAGTTAATATTAGTAAAATAGATATATATATATATATACATTTTCATTATTTTTTTTTCTCTCTTTTTCCTTCCTTTCATTGTTCATGCTTTTTTTTTATTTAACATTCAACTTCCCTGTCTCTCACTTCTCTCTCCCTTTATCTCTATTGTTTTCAATTATTCACCAAATAAATAAACAAATAGATAAATTAAAACTTTCGGGCTAGCCATGCACGTGGTGGTGAATGATTCCCAGGGAGTCGAGGGCTATATTTTCAGCCAACCTCGCTACGTCATTAATGTCGACACCTAGTGCCTCGAGGAAGCTCCTTGTTCTTTTTGGGATAGTTTCGCGAGACCCAAACCAGATGCCTCTCACGGTGAACTCTCTCTCTCTCCGAAGGTCTCACGGAATTTCTCTTTTAGGAAAGGGATACATTTATCGTAAGTGTTCTTCTCTTCCCTTTCCAATTCACCTTGTGTTTCCTTCTGGATTAATTTAAAACAAATACGGTGCTTTCAATGATAATATGTCAAAACCAAAACATTGTCATTTCCGCAACCAAAATGAATTTTTGGTTTGGTATTGTTATTTATACTTAAAGGTTCACTGGTTTAATTGATTTAATCTATGAAAACACTGACTATTATAAACATTAAACTGAACTAATATTTCCCATGATTTAATACAAAAAAATATACATGTACTAGACACCACGTCCATTTTTTCATCAAGTGGTTTAGTTACTGAGAAACATATTTTAATAGCTCAATGTTATGAGAAATTGGCTTCCCAAAAACAAATATTAAAAAGTAGCTTAGTAATCCTTTACCTCCGCAGTACAGATTAAGTAACTAAAAAAAAAATTTAATGTATCAAAGTTATGGATAATTGGCTCCTCTGAACAAATACAAAAATGGGCATGTTATTACCTCCCGGTACAGATATAAAGAATGTAATTACAATTTCGAAACAGTGGAATGGTTTTAATTCTGCCTCATAACTTCAACCTAACTAAATTACCATTATTAGAACAACAAAAAAAGAATTAAAAACCTAGATTTTAATCACTTTTTCTTCTTTGAAATCGATTCTTAAATGTTATGTAATATTTGAAAAGTTTTAAACGATTCTTCAAATCGATTTCAACTCAATCATTTTATTAAAAGGAAAGAAAGATAATTCAGAATGCAGAAGGTGGCCCTGGACTCACTAGGTATGCTACGAATAAGTCGGACACTCCTCTTCCGACTGACACTTCTGGAACATGGCCAATGCCTCTGTAGGAAGAGAAAATGTTACTGTTGTTTACAGCGACGATATTCAATAGTATAGTTGTATTGTATGAAATCAAAAGTATTTCCAATAAGTTAAGTGACCATATTCTGTAACTTCAAAAAAAAAAAAATTCAATATTTCTGTACAATCAAATTTGGCATTACAATCAGGTTGGTTGTTATATAGTAAAGGCGTAAAACCTGCTGTTCATCAACGTCGTTAATTAAATATAATAAAACTTTCTTTTTAGCAATACATAAATTTTTATCATTTAATTCGGTATGTATTAAAATGACCTTTAAAATTTTCAGATGTTGGTTGGTTGTTATATAGTAAAGGCGTAAAACCTGCTGTTCATCAACGTCGTTAATTAAAATTATATATTATTATTTATTCTGGTTGTGAATAATAGGAATAAAATTGAATTAAAAACATGTAAAATGTATGTGAAAGTTAAGGTTGTTTACGGTTATTAAAGTTTCGTTATTTAAAGTTAGGTTTAAAGTTAGCAGGTTAAGTAAAAAATAATATTAATCGTAAAATAAAATATAAGTAGGTGCCAGTGTTTCAACTGCCTTCCGCAGTGCTACATCCTATGCCCTGATTAAGACCTGCAAAGTTGGTCGAAACGTCGGCAAAATTAAATAATAATATTGTTATAATTTATTATTTATTTGACCGCAACCCCCCCTCCCCCCCCGATCAACCCCTTCTCATAAAATAAAATAACAAAAAGGTAAAAGGAAAAAAAAGAGGTGGGGAGTGCTGTTTGAGAGTTTCAGAGATTTTTAATTTTTTAATATTACTTCTTCATATAGAAAACATAGGATTTTGCTCAAGAATTTTTCATCATTTCTCAAAGCAGCCTATGTATTTGCTGTTGTTCCTCTTTCGTTTAATTCTCTTATGTAAAAAGCACAACTCTCGAAGATATGGATGCATTAAAATCTGACATCAGTGAATGGCGCAATACATCAACATTTTTTAGGTTCAGATTTTTACGGAGCAATCAATTTTTCGTATGAGGTTTCCATTATTTGTAAACTATACCTAACCATAAACTATTAGATTATATTATATTAACTATTCGTATACGATTAACTATTTCTCGTATTATTATAACGAAAATGAAAATTCATCATTAGATAATGCAGGTAATAGCCCTGTTATAGAAGGTGAGGTCAGAACAAATGCGGTCTATAAAAGAGATACGACAATAGAGTTAACAAGATGACGTATCTCGTTAACAAGGAGTGACGTCACAAGATACCTGGTAGGCCCATCTTGGTCCTCAGAGCCACCATTGTTAGCTCGAAGGACTCCAAAATTTGCATAAACAATCAAAGAAGCTCCTTTCCTTGTTCTGCTCTTTCGATCGTGTAAGAGCGTTCAAGGTTTTATTTAGAGAAAAGGACGACATTGGAAAATCCAGAGAGCTATCTATGCCAACTCCCGTGACTTTCGTTTTCTATTGCGGCATTTGAAATAGAGGAGAATATAAGTTATATCCCTTTCCTTTAGAAAGAAAAAGCAGGTAGCCAAAAATGATGTATTCGATTTCTCTTAGGTATAAGAGTGTATACCGAAGAAATACTAAATTATTAGATTCCTTGAAATAGATCCTCTCAATCGAACAGTCGTATGTTTCAACTGGCTCTTAGAGAATGGAAGATCCAATAAAATAAATTGAACTAATGGTAAGAAAGTCATAAATTAGATATAAAATACATTAAGTTAAAAAAATATTTCAAGACAAATTGCAGTTAGGCTTAAGATTTTCAAGAAATGTTTACATATAAAATACTTCGATAAAAATACAAAAATTTTAATTATATATGATTCATAATTTAAAAACCATTGCTAACCATGATATGGCTGCCTAAAACGGAAAGTTTGCAGAATTTTTACAGTTACAGTTAAATTTACAGTAGAGGAAATAAATGGCTCTGAAATATGAAATAATATAGAAATTTTTACAAAAATTTCTTCAATCCTTGTGTTTCATTTACATGAATAAACTAACATGTAAAACAGATAACAAGTCTATAAAATTTCTCAAAATATATAACTCAATAAATAAACACGGAAAAGCTAAATAAAGGGGAAAAAATGTTCCTGTAATCTTGATATGCACCAATTTCGGTAATTGAAATTCCCAATTAGCAGCATTGTTACAAACAAAATAATAAAATTAAATTGCAATTTAATATTATTAAGTTTAAAATAAAAACGTTGAAAATTATTAATCATAGAATGGTTTATTAATTCGGAAATAGATAACTCTAACAATAATTTTTAAATATATTTTTTGTAAAAATTATAATTTAGATATGATTTGTATATAGGTTAAAAAAAAAATTCTAGATATGTTATTAAGGCTTGAAATAATTTAAATATGTTTTTGTAAATTAATTTCTTTTTATTAACACAAATGACCGAAATATAGAATAAGATTCGTCGAATCAAGTGCCATTTTATATCAAAATGGCGGATGGAAATTTCGAGTTTTAAATATCATCCTAGTTTGATCTGTGAATTTGGTGCCAAATCTGAAAGAATCAACCAAGTAGTCTCGGAGGAAACCCGGGAAGAATATGTTTTATTTATTCGAATTTTGGATTCTACGTATCTTAAAATGAAAATATTCTGAATTGTGAGGAAGGGTGGTTTATTTATTATTATTATTTATGTGTTTTGCTTTCTCTGATATCTGGAATATCTACATCCCGGAAAGAAATCTTCAAGGGAATGCAGACGGAAGATTTTATTTATTTAAAACTTTTCTTACAATCCTGCAGGTATCGAGCAGTACTGCTTTTTGAGGTATTATTAAATACTTCAAGTAAAGTCCAAGATCTTTGGTGCATTACATTGTACTTTAGCATTCCAATAGCAGACCATTCCAAGATATTATTATGAGCCTTATTTTTACTTTTCCAAAATGATTTTTACTTTTAAATGATATAGAGTTTTTTATCTCTAAGGGCCAGTTGCTCCAACGCAGTAAAGCTTAGATTAAGCGTTATCTAAGATTAAACCAAGTTTAATCTTGATCGGTCGACCTCAGAAAACTTGGTTTAATCTTTGATAACGCTTAATCTAAGCTTTACTGAGTTGGAGCAACTGGCCCTAAAGCTAGTTCCTGGTATTTCAGATTTTTTTTCGGCCCTGGTGTTTACAAGGTTGGAATCAAAGGTTACTCATATAACTGAGATAATGGCAGTTTTATTTGTCTTGTGTATAACCAAAATATCCGGGGAGGTTATGCAGTACTATATGGTCTGTTACTATGTTTTCATCGCCGTAAACATTTAAAATTCTGTTTTATATAAGTTTTTCTAGGGTATAACAATAGTATGGTTCTTCATTGCCTAGTAGAGCTCTGCATTATTATTATTATTGGTTTAATTCACTACAAAGGTCGATTATTGAAAATAATAAACCAATATCAGGACAACCCAGAACATTGCCTCAATGAAAGGCTAAGATAAAAACATGTTTTTCAATCTTTAAATTGCCTAAATTTGCTATCCCAAACTCGATATTGGAGGAAGATATAAATTTGAAAACTCGCAAAGATTTTCTCGATTTATTCAAAGTTTACTTTGAATTCTCCACTAATTCTCAATTTTTATCCAACCGTACAAATATACCGTGGAACAGACCCGTTTTTATCGAATTATTAACATCTGCCTGAAACTTTGTAAATAGCTTCATCTCATCGTAACCTACAATTATTTTATTTACAAAAACTCTTGGAATCGGGGCGTTTTCAGCCTGGAGGAGGGCAAAGTTTGTCTATTTAATTGCGTACTAAAAACTCGTTTTTGCTATCTACTTGGATCGTAAGATGATTTAATCACAAAATCGATAAAAAAGATGGCCTACAAAAATATTGGGCCGCTAATTCTATATAACATCGCTATTTTCAATACTTGGGGGTCACACCAAATGGCACAATATTTTTGAAGGTCACATTTTTTATCGATTTCGTGATCAAATTATCTTACGATCCAAGTAGAAATAATTGTGATTTACGAGTTTTTAGTGTGTAATTAAATAGACAACGGTTGCTCTCCTCCAAATTGAAAACGCACCAATTCCGAAAGTTTTTTAAATGAAATATTTGTAAGTTACGATGAGATGAAACTATTCACGAAGTTTAAGGCGGATGTTAATAATTCGATAAAAATGAGTCTGTAAAAGGGAGTAAAAATTATCCAAATATTTCCCAAATTCTAAACTGGTAGACAATATGTATAATGCTTTATATTGATAAATATTAATACACTTTTTAAATTAATCTATTATTTAAATAACTGTAAATAAATAAAGAATACTAATCAATCACGACCAAACGTTCTACGTCCAATCATTATGGATTGATTGTTCAGAAAAAAAAACTGAAGCGTTCAGAATAAACAACAAATTGTGCCAGATACCGTTTGATAGAAAACAGAGTTTGATCCGGACATTAATCATGTTCTTGTATTAAAAAAAATAAAAAAATAGGATTAGATAACACTCAATTAAATTCAAATGAGTCTTAACGTTATTCCAACACAGAATTCAGATAAGATTGTATACACATATAACCACTGTGGAACAAAGTTATTTCATTTTAATTTACTACCGGGTCCTAAAATAAATGTGTCCTTGAAGTCTAGGCGGGAAAGGGGACACGTGTGTTCTGATAGCGTTCATTAGATTCCAGTACTGCTTAATGTAGTCTTCCAAGGATATACGAACAGCGCATGAATTACTAAAACAATTTAATATGTATATATAACGTATTATAATACATAGTAAACGTGTCTGTTACAGTATCTTCATAAAAACATTATTGAATGAAGCTTAGTACTAGAACCCATGTATCTTTTTTTATATAATTAAAAGAACATATGTAAGGAAATCTATCCGGGAAAATTGATAATCCTGTAAGACCATCATTTTAGTTAATAAAATTCATAGTAGGAGAGCTTGTATCTTAAGTTTATCTTATCTTATCATATTTGTAAATCCTCATGTACGGCTTTATTACTTGTTAATTGGAATGATAAAACAAATAAAAGCCATAATCAGTGAATAAATAAACAGAAACCAGATATTTCTTTTTGTTATTTTACAGTACAAATAAATAAGAATTATTAATCCATTAATATTTTCAGAAGCGGATTTAACGGTGAGCGGACTGAGGTTTTGTTAAGTCCCCAAAAAATCCAATAAACCTTAAAACCAAATGTTTTTTTTTTTAAACTTATGTATTGAAAAATATTACAATCTGTCTCAAGGACATTTATAGTAGTGTTCTGAGATCACATCCACACTCTATGTACAATAAATAAAATAAATTATACAGAAAAATAATACATATACAATAAATAAGAATACAATAACCTAAAAACAAATAAATAAAAACAACACTTACGTACCTATATGAAAAATTTAACTTAATCTATAGTTCATATATGATTTACTCTTTAATTTCTTTATTCAGCACTCTTGCTCAATCTCCACTGTGTTTAACCCCAGTGATGCGGTTGAGAGAGAAGTGCAGGGATCTCCTGGAATCATACTTTGGAATCATCATGGAATCATGCTTTTTCCTCCACGGTTGGAGAGACAAAGCTCGGCAAGACAAGGCTCGGGGTTCTCTCGCCAGATTGTAAATAGTGTATATAGGTATGTATGTGTTCTTTTTATTTATTTATTTTTAGGTTATTTTGTTCTTATTTATTGTATATTTATTATCTTACCGTATAATTTATTTTATTTATTGTACATAGAGTGTAAATGTGATCTCTGAACACTATTATAAATGTCCTTTGGGACAGATTGTAATCTTTTTCAATAAATAAGTTTTAAAAAAATGTTTTTATTCCGTAACTATTTATTAGTGAGCCTTAATTATTATGTAAAATTGCTTATAATCATTTCAAAGAAATGATTTTTTTCTGAGTCGAATGGTAACACCGATTTTAATTAAACGTTTTGTGGTAATAGTCCAATGCTAGTTTGTGGTTTGTTACCAATGCGCCCTAGGAGCCGAGAAAAAGAAAATATGTAATGTTAACATTTTTTTATATCATTATTTTCTGCCGTTACCCTGTTTGGATTTCTAAGTTATAATGTATCGATCTAATTGTATTTTCTGTGTAAAATAAGAAAAACAATTTGTAGGAAACCCTGAAGAATTACAGCTTAGTGAAGAATCGGTAGCTTAGTGAACATAAATATTGCAATAATATAAAGTACTAAAAATTTTTTTTTTAGTTCAATATAAATGCGAACTTGAAATTTTTAAAGGACGTTAGGAACGCACCTGGGGTTCTTCGTCATGATAAAAATTTGCTTGACCTACTTAACAAAGCATCTCCGTAATTTATTATTTATTTGAATAAAATCTGTTTTTTTTTTGTTTTTTTTAGTTCAATTAAGATATTACAATCTAGACATTCAAACAGAGCAAAGGCAGGAAACAAAAAAAAATGTTAAAAATTTATAAAATATTTTTTCTAGGTTCCTAGAGCAACATTGTTGGCATTAGCAGAACCTTCGGACATGGATTTAATAGTTTTTACTAAAATATATGTTTCTTAGTAAATTGATTTAAAGCGTTTAAGAAGTGTAATTATTGATTACTTTTTTGTACAACTTTATGAAATTTTTCTTGAAATAGTTTTTTGAGAGCCGCAAGATTTTTTACTGATCGGGGTTTCATCTTGTTATTAATCGTCTACAGGCATTCAAATGAAATAATAATTAGTATTTATGGTCTCTATTAATGATTACATCATTCAGGCCGCTGGCAATGACATTCAGTTTGCCTAAAATTGTCTAACTCATTTCTCGTGGTTTGGCATTGAGCCAGTCTTGAATGTTTATTCACCATGGAATATACTGAGTAATATCTAAATTTTCGGTAGCTTAGAGAACCGATCGCTTAGAGAGACGCTACATAGACGAGGTGGATCAAAGAGCGGATTATACAATATTCAAATCTAACTATCCCATCGGTGAGGGCGTGGATCACCTTGTAGTGGTCACATGACTGCTCATGTCAGGGTTGCCCGCTTCCAGCCAACATTCTGTACTCCCTCCGCTATATAGAGACGAATGTGGATCAAGATAAATATTATGGATCATCGTTAACATAGAATATGATAATAAAAGATGAAACATCGAAAATCTTGATTGATATGTGTATATAAAAAGTGCCACACAGATACCAAACACCAGTTTCCACTAAGATTAGCAAGCCGTTATCAATTGCTTATAAGATGGTTTGACACAGCTAAGGAAGACAAGACTTTAACAGTTAAAATCGGTGCCACTGACAATAAAAGTTACGTGACATAAATAGCTGAAGATAGGATTATATCTCTGATGGTTATAATATAAGAGTGCCAAGCAAATATAAACGCAAGGAGAGAAAGAATTAAGATATAATAACGGAAATAATTTTTAAATATTTTTTTAAAGAAAAAAGAAGTACAAACATCTTATTCTGCCTCCTACTCCTTTTCCAGCATTGATACCATTCTATGAAGCTTCTTCATTGGGTTTCTTGTTGTTCATTGCCATCTTGTACTTGATTGAAGGCCAAAACAAAATTTCATGAATAACAATCGCTACAATATTCACCTTTGAACTTATGTATAATACGTCACCTACCATATTTTTAATATCAGAACACAAATATCAGTTTGAATATATCTCCTCAAAGTTATGAAGAATCTATTTTTAAAAAAACAATAATAACAGGAACACGCAGTGACAGCTAAACCAACAACCTGCCCTGCACATAAGCAATTCCTAGCTACAGATGGTCTGCCTCCAGTAATAGAGTTATTTCGTCATTACTCACTGCCAATATATTAATGGTCTCCATAATAACAACAAAGTTCCATGTTACCATCCCTTCTCTCTATTAATAACAAGGTACAATAACATTGCCTATATTTACTTACATATACATTTATTTACAATCTAAATCTTCATCTAAAGCCTTAGCATTGTCATCCAATATACCCTTCGGTTGACTTACAGGACGTTATAGTTTTGGACTGATAATTGTTTAGTGATTCTGACACCTTTAAACTAGGTGTAATGTCCATTCTTGAGTTAATGTTTTTCTTCCATAAAACGGGAGTTCTCATCCCCTCTTTCCTCTTTTCTCCAAGATATTTTATTGTCCCTCTCTTCTTAAAAATAGTGTAGTGACATAATATTATATGATTCAATATATAAAAAAATAGCGCCAGCGAAAGTAGATTTTGAAAAATCTTAGATCATGTAAAATTGCAAAATATTTTAATTTCATTTGTGAAATGAAATTAAAATAGATTTTTATTATTCTGGGACTTTTGTCCCTTTAGGACAAATTATAGATACAGAGGAAATGCCTGTGTGGCCATAAAATTAAATTAAATATTTACAATGCTCATTAAAATAAAACTATTGGAAGAAAAATAAAACAAAACCACTAAATACATACAGATATATACAAAAGAAACATGCGAAAATAAAATTACATAATTCAACAAAACCATTTCTGGGGGAACTTAAAAAGTTCTCTTATCTACTTTTCATGATCAATCGGGTTGGGAAAGAAGTAGGTGCTTAAAAAGGAGAGATTTAAATGAGGAAACTGATTGCGCATGTCGGATATCATGTCGGAGGGATGGTATTCCAGGTGGAGACGGCTTGAATTATAAAGGATTTGTCAAACGCAGCAGTTCGGTGAGGAGGTGGATAGAGGTCAGAAGTACGAATCTAATGGGATGGGATTAAATGGAATATTTAAATTGTAGGCTGTGAAAAATATAGGAAGGTCGCTGAGTTCTGATGGCTTGGTATAGAAAAGTAGCCGTTTGTGATCGATTCCATATTTTCTCCTATTTTCTGGTTTGAAACATGTTTTCAAAAACGTTCTCTCTCCCCTCCTCCCTCCAAAGTGTGTAAACCTCAAGCATTTTGATGGCGCAAAGTTCGCCATGAAACCGTTTTTTGGGCACCCGTGTCTCAAAATTAGTGTTCTTTTCTTTTCTTTTTTTTTTAAACCTGCACCGCTGCAACCCATGAAGGATCTTGAATTCAGTACTTTTTCAGTACTTTGTATTCAGTTTTTCCCTTTAATTAATATTTAATTAAGGGTACCCACTTTATAGAGGCTGGGTGTGCCCTATGAGGGTCTCGTAATCCCAGCGTCGCCCCACGACTAATGAATCAGAATAAATTATTTGTCTGCCATGAGCCGGGATTCGAACCCAGAACCTTGAGCATTGGAAGATCAGTGACCTATCACTGAGCTACCCCGCTTCTATAAAGTTACTGTTCTACTATTCTTAATTAATTTTTTTAAATCTTCCAAGAAGCAAAATGAGTAATTTTGACAAATAAAAGTTGCTTGGTTAAGTTTGTTTTTATTTCACTATAATTCCAATTCATTCAGATATTTTAGATTTCACCGAAAAACCTTTCTACGTATAAAATTTTTATAGAAAGTATATAAACCTTTGGATACATTCTATGTATCCCTAGAAGCAATCACCTATCCACTCTAGACCCGATTCGTTCATTTGTTTGTAAAAATGGAGACAATTGGGTTTGGCAAAGCAAGGACCCACAAAGACGACGAAGTAAAAAAGCGATTGGCTGGAGAGGAAGAGGTCGATGAACCGCGGTACACCTGCCGGAGGTAACGGGCCTGCCTTATATCCATTTAGATATTGTGATAGCTCTTCTTTGTTGTCGAGTTTCCTCCCCAGGACCATATCCATCTTGATACGTTCCCTCCTATCTGGCAATAGTCGCTAATCTTCGGGTATTTACTGGATTGTATTTTAAATGTTATGAAGAAGATGAGAAAAGGACCATCCCAATGTTCCATACCATTTAAAATACTTTTCAAAGTAATTTTAATATGAATTTAACGGAATTCCCCATAAAAGATCATTTACAACATATAAAGAAATAATTACGGAAAATGTGGCAGAACAGATAGCAACGAAATAAAAAGGCTAAATAAAAAACACTATTCCAAATGGAAAACCTGTAACCGAATCTCTATGAAAGAAGAGACAGTCCTCATCCCATTAAGAATTGGACATTTCCACATGAATTTTCATATGCCTATTTACTAAGAAGTCTGTACCAACCAACATGCGAGAGCTGCAAGGAGTCCAAGACTGCTCAATATTCAAAAATATAAGAGCCTAAAAGACAACCTGATTAACAATGAAAAAGCAGCAGAAAAAAACATTGATTTTTTTTTAAATTATAAAACTCTATAATAGAGTACAAGCAGAAGTTGTTGCCAATGACTGCAGGGTAGAGGCAACAATGGACACAAATAATAAAAAAAAGAAATCTTATCAAAAATACGACGCTTCTTGCTGCATATATCTTTAACTAAATCTTGACTCTAGTAATGTTTATTTTAAATATATTACCGTTGATATTTTAGAAGAAAATATTTCTTTAAAGACATTGCAAAATAACTTTCAAGCGATTTAATTTAATTATCTTTGTGTTATATTCAATTCAGGCGGAGGGCACTGGTACTATGATATTGCTGGTGAAAAGAACAAACCCTGTCTGTAGACAATTGGTCCAATTAGCCAAATCCATAATAACCAATGGGAATCTTCTATTCCTCCGTCTCGAATCTCTTGGTGCGGATAATCTGATTGAAAAAGTCTTCTCCTGGATTCCATTTTAGCCCATTATACTATACCTCATTGAGCCATAGTGGTCAAAATCCACAATGTGGTACAGGGTAGTCACTAGCTCCCATGCGTTTGGGCAGGTTTAATCTCCAACTATCCTACAAACCTTGAATGGTATTTAGTTTGGAGTGTAAATTCTATCTTAGTTAATTTCCTTCTTACCCTAGGAGACAATTTGTTCTAGAACAGGAGTCTTTAAACTTTTTGACCGGCGGTCCAGGTCCACATTGAGACCTCGACTAAGTCTTGCGGGCCGCATTGAGACCTCCACCAAAGTCCAGCAGATCAACGGTAGTACTGAGAAAAAAATCTTGTTCTCTGAATGACAAGTTGTGAAATGGGCTTTATAAGAGAGGAAAAAAAAAACGTGCAATAAATGTTGAAGTATTCTCGTTTGTGAGCAATTTGCTAAATTTCATATGTTTAACAGTTTTCAAAGAAATTTTCGCGGGACGGATTGAAAATACTTGCAGACCGTAGATTGTAAACCTTCTTTACGCACTTCGTTTTATCTTAGGCTAAAACATTGCTTTCATTCCTTATAGCTCTCAAGAACGTTTTTTCCTTTGATGCTAAATGGGAATGCCTAATTAAGGTTATGGTAACAAAAAGGGGAAATCCTGCAGTTTCATTTGCAAGCTTAACAACTTTCAGGGCAGATATGGTAGACTCCAAGCATATTCCGTAGGGCACGGAATTTAAAAAAATCTCTCATTCCGAAGACGATCATTTTTTAATATACTCCTTTGCTTCTAGTGGTCTCAACTTACATGACCTAATGATTCTTTAAAAAATAAATGCATAACAGATAAAAGTATTGATTTTATGCTTCATACAAAAAACAAGTATTCGTCACTAAATGTACTGAAAGATGGGGTAACTTTGGGACAGCGGCTAAAATTTAGTTTGTTGTAATTCCGTAGTGGATAGACTGTCTTCAGTCTGCAAAAACGTGCATTGTGTAGGCATGTATTGCCCTACTACCTTGCAGCAGAACCCTAGTTCACTATACTCGTTGTGCAGTAAGATTTTGTTTATTTCCATTATTCATTCAAAATTCTTGTTTCAATGAAACTTTCGATTGTGCCTCAAGAGTATGTGCCGCAAGGTAACAGCGCAGTACTTGCCAACACAAAGCAGATTTTTGTAGACTGAACCAACCCAGTGTATCCACCACGGAATCATCACAGACCAAATTTTACCCGCTGTACCAAAGTTACCCATCCAGTCCCAAGTTACCCTATCTTACGGTATTACATAGTTAAGCTTAAAAAAAAAAAAAAAAAAAATAGAAGAAAATATCAGTATTGAATGATGCCAGAAATGCAGATTATAATAAATTAATTACGTACGATTTGCGTGATATTTTGAGCAAGGAGTCATAAAATAGAACTGGACGAGCGCAGACAGGTGGCCATTATCAAATTATTGAATATTCAATAGATAAGAAAGAATACGGATATCATAGTATGAGCTAATAATTTATTCATCAATCATTTTTCTCATGTTGAGTCACGAAATTATACGTAACTGCCTTTATCCATGTGGAAGGAAAAAAAATTCTATCTCAGAAATATTTGAACTCCGGAAAATAAAAAATCATTTTTCCGATAATCTCCAGATAAAAGTAGATAAGCGTTGATCGGAATAGAATTGATTGCGAAAGTAAATAATACGTTATTTCTATTTCATATGTCGCTATGGTAACAGAAATATCAATCTTTATTCAATAATCTTATATATGTTTTTAATTGCCCGTTAATTTACACTAAAATGAAAGAATGGGTTTGTGGCAAGGTTTGGTGAGCTACTGATCATATCGTATAGTTGCTGCCACTACTTCATTAATGGAAAATCGTTATTTTTTAGTTACAATATCTGCATGTTATTATTATTATTAAATCCCAATCCACAAATCTTAATGTGGTCAGATCAATGGCAAGCGAATAATTGCAATTGTTTGAACATTTAACTAGTGTGATTTCTGGTTCACGAGTCCAATCATACAATTTTTTATAATAATATTGAGGTAAGATCAACATAACAGATACGAAGGTGATTATATGAACTTTTAACTGGCGTAATTTCTGCGTCCCAATGCATATCGTACGGTTTTGAGTTACTTTCACTTACTGATTCAGGTAAGACGATCCCACACGAATAGTGCATTCAATAGTGCATGCCCCTTTGGAGAAAATGTATTGTTCAACTGTTTAAAAAAAAAAATAGAATTAGAAAAATTATAGATCTTGTAAAAAATACACATACTGTGGTCTGTTACAAATTTTCCCCTAGTTCTTTGGTTTGAAACTTCCTCCAAATTGAAAATATGATTCCCCCCAAAAATCTATAGCCCCGTCAATACGTGTCCCCTTGAAAAATTACAAAATGTGTCATGTCGCTCGAAAAAAAGAAAAAATTATGGCGTGTTCCATAAGACTCCCTTCGAAGCTTCGTTGAACGAATAAAGGATATATATAAGGAAGTATTTTAATTGAAAAAAATTTCGAATTCAAGTAGCAATGAAAATACACAAACGTGTGTGTAAAGTTTTTTTTTTTCTATCATCAATTATCTTAGATGGTTCATTTCCATATTAATTTTTTGAAATATTAAAATATTCAACTCTCTTCGAAAAAATTAAATAACATTCCTGATTCAGTACAATGTGAGTATTGTTCCCAAGTGTCTGAAATGAAAGGTCGGCATTTTTTATAACGGTGTTGAATGAAACCTGCAACGCTGTGGAAATATACAGAAAAAACGTATGTCAGGAAAAAAAATGATTAAAAGTATCAACAAAAACTATAAAATAATACGTTATATATTTCATGAAGTGGAACAGTATCAGAATCCCACCTTGTATCGATCAATTTATACCCTGATATGTTAACATCGATTTATTACAGTTTTCGATCTGAGTAATAGCTGTTTGTTTTCGAAATCGCTGAGACTAGTGGATCTATTAGGCCGGAATGATTTACGAAGTTTGTTGGAACACCGCCAATTCAAACGCATTCTTTTTCGGTATCGGTCCAACTAATTTTCGAAGTACTTGGGTACATACTGATAGCTTCCGAAATAATAGTTAGGTGTGTTTTCAAACACTATGTATAAATATGTATGTATAAAATATAATTAATAAATACATAAATAATATTCTTGCCTGGCTTAAATATTTCATCGAGTTGATCATAATATGATAGTGAATATATATATATATATATATATATATATATATATATATATATATATATATATATATCAGTTTTATTATCACTTTATATGATGATATTATTTGCGAAAAACTAAAAAATTGCACACTTTTGCCTTGGTTATGCCCATGATTATATAAAAGATTACTAAATTCCCTACAAAAGGGAAAAAAACACATCGAAATCGGACAATTTTTAGCAAAGGTACAGCTTACTAAAATTTGTAAACATGCTGGTTAGAAACAAAAATGAAGATTTAAATTAATTTCTGTTTCCTTTGTCGATTATATCTATCGATAAAGTAACGTTTGATTTCTTATTCTTTTGATACGTTGCATTATTTTATTTTCTTATTATTTTGGTATTTGATAACTATATGCTGTGCGAATTTTTCGCATGGGCCTACTATTTGTAGTCATTTTTGCTGAAAACGCGGTTACTTTAAGGTGATACGATTTCAAAACACCTTATATTCTTACAACACTTGGTGTGAATCTCAATTTATTTTGCAATAAACCCTCAACTTGATTATTATGAACTTAAAGCTGATTAAAATAGAATTTTTCAAAAAGTGGTGTATTTGTAATATAGTAAGAGGTTGATAAAAAAAATCGCGAATAATTCATGATTTTTTTAAAACACAATTTAGCTTAGTTTATCCGCTTAAAAGTCCTCTTTAAATAGTTTTAACAATGACAAACGCTACTTTTGTTTAAAACAATTTTTTTCTAGTTTACTGTGATTGAATTGTCAATTGCCTAAAATATTTTTTTAATTATCGCTTTCTATTTAACAAAAAATATGACTTACTTATAAAACTTAAATTTCTTACATTTC